AATCGTTGTTGTGGCGGGTTGCGTGGTAGTTGGTTCAGTCGTTGTCGCGGGTTGCGTGGTGGTTGGTTCAGTCGTTGTTGTGGCGGGTTGCGTGGTGGTTGGTACAGTCGTTGTTGTGGCAGGTTGCGTGGTGGTTAGTTCCGTCGATGCGGTGCTTGGTTGCGTGGTGGTTGGTTCAGTAGTTGTCACGGTTGTTGGTGGCACAGTGGGACAACGACCGCGTCTTCTGGCTGCAGTATAAAATACGTTTGCAATCTTTTAAAACTGTAACATATGCACTTCGATTTTTGGTTATTGTGCCAAAGATAATAAATTACCACTCTTTATAACACAAATAAAAATTATACGAAATACTGCCATTTTACTTGACGAAAAATTGCAATGTATAAGCAGTGATGTGAACTTCATTAATTTGAAAATTGGCACAAGTCATTAAAAAAGATCAAATAAACATTAAAGACGGTAATAACCATGTGGCTCCTGGTTCAAAGATTAGGAAAGTATGTTTTTATACATGCATGGTAATACATGAAATGCATAAAGTTCGATTTTCAGTCAACAAGAAAGTCTGCTGTCTGTGGTTTACAGCAAAAGCCATCAAAAGTTTTTCCTCACTTTGAATCGTGAAATAAAAAAGGATACTTACATTTAGGTGTACAACGCTTCTTGGTTTTCTTTCCTTTTTTCTTATCCTTCTTGGTCTTTTTCTTTCCCTTATCCTTCTTGTTATTTTTCTTTTTGTCTTTCTTGGGTTTGCGGCGTCCGCGTTTGCTGCGCTTTACCCGCGTTGCCTCGTCGCTAACAATGATGTCGACATCTTTTTCGATACTTGTGTCTTCCAAGGATATTATAGAGTTACCATTGTCAGAGATGATTGGCCTGAATTAAAAGACGTTTACATTAATCAAATTTGTCAGTATTTCGTTTTGCCTCCTTATTTTTAAACAAATGATTGAAGAAGAATTCATTGCAAATTTCATAGACAGTAATATCATGACTACAAAATGAGGCGTTTTTTATCTTGAATAACTTCGAAGGGTGTGAAACAATTATTAAGCATCACCTTTACTGTGAATCTAAAAAAAATATGCGAAAGTGGACCATAAAAAGAGATACAGAAACGGCTTTTGAGAGTATTTTTTATCAAGTTCAGCACACTGTTAATATAACTAGTATGCCACGCAACATCAATGTAGCTAACAAAACTTACAACACCGTAGCTTGAACATCAACTTCATCGTCGTCTTCCTGTGCTTTGACAAAAATTTCAGCTGATTGTTCCTTTTGTTCGCTTGGTCTCAGCAAATATTTCTGACCATTTCCCGTATCGTCGCCATAGTTACCAGTGAGCGGCCAGCACTCAACGGTCGCTATAGCAACAAACAATACCAGCATCTGGACACGCGACATCATTTTTCATGAAGACTTCTGTTGGGTTTTTCCCTCTATAGAAAAGAAATAAAACGTACCTTTTGTATTTTAAAGAAATGCAATTATGAAACAAACGACAGTGATCATTAAAAATAAGTCTGGGGTTTTGCATTAAATATGCAAATGGTGATTTTTACCTTATCTCCTTATAACAGTATTTAGTAATCACTCTTTTGATTTCCAGATTCTAGATTATCTTATACGCAGAAATTAAAGACCGATTTTCTTAAATGCAATAAATTCAAAACTCTTATATTTTCCTGTTGCTTTAAAAATTTGATTGTGAATAATTATTAACGACGATTACGACGAAAAGACGAGACGATGTATTTTCTTTTTTTCAATCCCCCTAGGCCTATTGATCTTCCAAATCTGCATTGGATATCTTTCTAAAACCATGCTTATAAGACTTACCCGTCTTTTCTTTGGTGCCCAGATTCCTTTGCACACAAGAAAAGGTTCCCACCTATTATATAGTCGAACATCGGAAATGAAATCCCGTGCTTAAAATGATTTTTCCTGATGTTAGATGAAATAACAAAGTCACATCCTCTTCTTTCGGACAAGGTGTGAGCTGATTGCGTAGGTGTGCTAAAAGTAGTGGGTGGTTTGAAAACGGACTCAGCATCACTAAACAGTCGCCTGTGATATATGGAAAGCCCCAATTAATATTCACAATCCATTGGGGGGGATACATGTACGAGTTTTTTAGTTCGGAGATGACTAAGAAGTTCACTTCTTTCAGGACTACTGTTGATATGTGTATTTAAGGCACACATCCTGAATTAGAGTTATCGCCTAAAGTCACATAACCACATCTAACAGGTGGGGACAGACATGACTACTATAAAAATACAAAAAAGTGACACATGTTTCGTGAGACCTAAAAAGAGGAACTGGTTAAACGGGAGTCATGCTATGTCACTGTCCTCACAACTATTTTAGTGCACACGAGCTTTCAGTCTATTTCAATAAGTGCAGAAATCAATACATAAGAATGAACATTCTCCCTGTCAAATACTTTAAAAGATCATCGCAAAATAATCCGAGTGTTGTTGAATTCCACCGTGTACGATCTCCTTTATTTCTTACAGTGATTCTTTCAAACAATGTCTTAAAACTAGAACGGGTAGCAGGAACAACTTATGTTTAAAAATAAAATCACAATTACTGTGATCTTGATCGGGGCACTTAATTTTCATATCCGTGAAGATATCTAACACAGGTGAGCTGTGAGGCTGCCTCCAAAGAAAGTCAGAGTTTCTAGTTAGGAGAGTAAAGACACATGTATTCAATATGGTTGTTCAAAGTTCATTGAACTCACTCACGGTTATTTCTACACGCCGGGCACCGTGTAGTGCCCGCATTTAAATGTGTAGTCTCTCTGCCTGATACGAGCAACGAGAGATATTCTGTACTAGTAGGGCCTAATAATTTACTGAAGAAATGGACTTTCGTTCGCGTAGTTTGTTCAAGTATATGTACAATTCCCAGGCCTATTACAAACGTGACTCAAGTAGGACACTTTAAAACAGAATTTTTCAATGTAATATTTTGAAATAAAAGAATTTATACATTTTATTTTGTAGTCAAACTTCCACTGGAAGTAGGCAATTAAGCTTTGTTCACAATGTGTGGGCAAAATATATTAGAAGCAATACACCGAAAACAAAACCATGCCTATTTTTATTAGTACACGTAACCTACGTTAACCAAGGTGACTAGCACACATGATCTCACCACTCGCTCACTCCTTTACCCCTGCAAAAAATGGTGTGTTAAAGGCACGGCACAAATCAAGGTGCAGTGAATGTCAAACTGGATTTTCTTCATTATAAAATTTTTTTGAAAGATATACAATGAATAACGTGGCTTCAGTGACTAACTTTTATTTTAGTGACATCTCTTTTCATAATTTATCAATAAATTGATTATTTAATCCATTGATTAATTCAAACGCCGTTGTATTTTTAAAATGGCATGTTTTAGTATTTCCAGATTACTACTGAATTTATATTTATTAGAATTTTGGACATAATTCGCACAAAATTGTTCAATGGACTTTGCTTATGCTATGACAATCTCTAGTAACTGTTATGGAAATCGAGTTTAAAGTCGGATATCTTATCAGCGCGTATCGTGGAGGTTAGTGGTAACCACATTGAACCGTTCCTATTGTCGTAACTTTAACATGTATGACTTCGGTCACGCGACTTGTTAAATACACATAGCTGGTAAGACGTTGGTGAAAAACGTTTTCTTTTCAATTCTAGGGATGTTTTTCGCATGTGTGATATTGTATTATTTCACACAATAATTATAGGGTGTTATACTATTCCATATATTACATTTTGTGAATAATTTAGTATTTAACAAGTACTGAAACAAGAAATGGCCTTTAGAAGCTTTTTTTTATATCTTTTTTAATGAAAATAGCTAACAGATCGAACAAGTCTTTGCACTCAGACTGATAAGGGTACCTTTATTACATCTGAGATCGGGCAAGTGTTCACAATATTGGCAAGTATATATATACATGAACTTACCTTATATAAAATAAAGGGTGCACTTCACCCTAATAACTGACTGCATATATTAATTTAGGGACAGGGCACCACATGCAAATATTTAAGTCTATAGTACTTTCACCTACAGTAGTAATTGGTTTTTTGAACTTAATATGAAAGCACCTTCAAATGACATAAGGAAAATAAAGTGGTCAAAACTGCTTAAATTTGAGTCTGACATTGCACAACATATAAATGGGCAATTGAAGTTAATTTCTAACAAAATTATTTAAATTTGTAAAAATGACAGACACCTCATAGTACAGATTTGCCTTTGCTTTACCCTAACTTTTAATTTTGTTCTATTTGACACTACTATGGGTTTTCTTATATTTTACTTCTATAAACAGCTGTATAATCCCTCTTTACATTGTGTCATTTTCCTTTGTCCTCCTCCTGCTACAGTACTTTTAAACATTGGGCATAAACTATTTAATTGAGGTCAAAATTACCTATAATGGTCAGTTCTGACATACTTCATATTAAAATTCCTTTATGAAAGTTCCAACCCTGGTGAAAACTCTAAACAAACTACTTTCTGATTTATATTTAGAAGGCAGAGGGTTTTTTTTATCCAAGTAGAGATATTTACCTATACATGCTATGTTACAACAAAATTCTGATTCATATATGGACAATATTGTCTGCTCATTTTGGCATCTCAGACTTTTACATACGTCAACCACAACCACCCTACATCTAAATACTTCAGTCCTTCATTACAGCTGCACAATCATTGTGTTTTCTATAACTGCTTATCTGGTTTGGCTCAAAAACTTTAAGTTGGAATGTTTAACAAAGAAGAACAAACTATGCCTAATAAACATGGAAGTTAATTCAACCAGGTTTTCTTGCTTTTTACAAAAAAGAGATGAAAATGGTTTAACATTATGTTCATGTGTAACTTTTTGGATCTCTGATCCTGTTTCTGTATACCTAAACAAAAACGGAATTCATCAAAATGTTAGGAATGGCATTTGAAAAATTGGCATCTGAAAATGTTATATACTTTATCATCATTTCCTATAACTACAACCCACATCAATTAGCAAACTTATCAGTAAAAATACACCTGACTTTATGAGCAAACTATTCTGTTTTACTTTAAGTGCATGTTATATTGCATAGAAAAGTAAACTTTCAATCATTATGGTATTTGTTTACAAATGTATCTCATACAATTCCAGCTTAATAAAATGACATGGTCCTTTCCTTGTAACACTATATCAGTGCATTGCTTTAAAATATCCTGCTTCATTGACACCGTGCTAATTACCAATGAGATTATACACTGCATGACAGTAACTGGATTTGCTGAATATTGGCGTCTTTGTTTTCCTCTGGGTCTGTCATTCGTAGGCAATACGCCTTTTCCTACTATGAAAACTTCAATCTCAAATTGCACAATGGAAGAGTATGACACGAAGCTTTGCATATAACATTTCAAAATTGAAAATTGACCTCCAAGTCTGGCTTTAATTGCCACATTACACTGTAGTAACCTACAGTAACACTGTTTATGAATCTTGGAGTCTGGGAGCAAGACCAACAATTTTTGATTCTTAATAACATTTCTCCACGACTTTTTGGTTTGTTAAAAAAACTTCTTCATCTAAAAGATAGCTCAGCATGTAACATTTTTGGTGCTTATTAAGTAGGTACAATTGTACTAGTATATTCTATTTAATCTAATGTACTGGCTCATTCCAAAGCTTTTTCATTTCTACAGCATTTAATTTTTCAAAAGTCCATTTCTGAGACTGCAAGTTTTCATCACACTGTGTCATGAATATTTCTTTGTTGCCAGAGTCACTGTCCAAGCAGTGGTTTGATATAGGATGGAATATTTGCTTGGTTTTCTGAAATCAAAAGAAAAAATATCCTGAAAAAGTGCCAAGTTCTGGAAAATCTTTGATATAAAGAAGAGAAACAGTACTAGGAATATTACTGTATTCTAAAATTGTCTACTATGTACACAGTATTCAAATATTTCAAAACTTCATTTCTGCTAGTCTTTCAGATAAGCAATTTTTTTTCTCTTATAGATGCAAGTGATTTAAATTTTAAAAAATATGACTTAAAACATCTCTTCTTACTGAATTATATTTAAACAGCTGGTTCCCTTGCATTCCATGACATCCAAAGAGGATCACAGGTGCTTTATGTACAGAAGAGGACACATCAAAACACACATTCCTTTTCTTTGGGCGGATATCTTTATGCCAGGACAACTCCAGTTGCTAAAACAAAATATTACACGACAATTTATCATTGAAGATATTTTGGTGTATTTTTGAAAATGAGTGTCAAGTGTGGTTAACGTAAAGTTCTTAACTGCCTGCCATTGTAGAAAAATATTTCTCCTGTACTCACAACCTACAGTATATGACACTCAAATTGTTGTGTCAGAGAATCCTTCATAAACACCAATAATAATTATAAATCAGTGAACAATAACTCAAATATCATGGCCTCAAAACTATTAAATTAACAGTGGTTCAATTATTCAATATTTTAAAGTTCTTAAAAGAAGCATTTATCAAGAAAAAAAAACTGTCACATAATTTGTCATGAGGTCTAATTGTATCCCACCTGTTCCCCTCCTCCTTTAGGGCTCTCACTAATACAGGTCTCCAGACCAAACTTTTCATTCTGTCCTCTAAACCTGGTGTCAATACATAGCCCGCTGCCTAGATTTCTCACCTAGAACAGATAAACATTTACAGTAACAGGTATGATGCAAAAAGTTCACTAGCATGACCTGTCTGCTCAAACACAGGCAGTAGATTGAATATTAATTTTAGAAACACATTTTAAAGAAAATTCTTGAATAGTGCATTTCTCAAAAGTATTTACTGAATCGGATATTCATGCATGTTTCTGTTTTGGCAGATAAGAAATAAAAGGTTTAAGTGCAAAAAAAAAATCATCTTGACAGAAAAGAAAATAATGTCCTGCTGTCACTTCAGTTAAGAAAGTTAAAGAGGGCCAGACTTAAAAACACAATGACCAACCTCTCCCTCTGCAAACGGTGGGGGTTCTACAGGTGGGTAATATTTTTTCAAATCAAACGCAACCTCCTCCATAAAATATTTGAAAGGTTTGCACTTCAGTTTCTGCCTGATAGCTTTCTGTTCAGTGAGGTCACCAGGGTCAATATTTTTATAATGAGGTCTTCGTCTGTATAGATGCTCAGCATATTCGTCCATCCACACTACTGCTACTCTTCGGTAGTTCTGGAATGCAGAAGTATTCATTCTAGAAACTTATAGCATCACTGTTTACATAACAGTTGACATTCATCCAGTAAGATATTCAGTTTATTTTGAAGATTTTGTATTAAGTGAGGGAAAAGCAAAAGTCAGCACACTAATTCTCACATGTAACATTTTCACCAATTTCACCTCTTGAAAATACAAATTAATATCAAACCCACTGAAAAAACATATTTGGGGATATAATGTGGGTATAGAAGCAAAATAAATTCAAGCTTTCAAAAGTAATTGAATATTTCGTTTTTAAATAAAATGATTTTGACTTAGTCTTACATAAGTAACCAAGTCATACCTTTCCTACAAAATCTCCTATGCCAGGATTAGGGAAAGGTGCAAACTTTCTATAGATGTGCCCCACTCTGGAACATGGAGCATCCACCATCTGTCCATGACACTGCCAGATCTGGTAATAAATAGTATATCCATTTTTAAATACATGCTTTTTTTTTTTAAATTAACATTGTTTTGATGAGTAAAATGAAATAAGCAAGTAATTCAGAGTCTTTTAAAAGTCATGCATGTTTTATAAGAGGCACTTTTCTTTTTTGATGTTTTAATAAAAAATATCATAAACACTTTTTTCATATATATGAATATATGATTGCATTCATTTCTCAAGATAAAAAAATAATTCTCAGACTATTTTGAACTATGTATAAAATGTTATATTCAAAGAAAGTTTATGCCATCAGAGCCTTTAACCCAACCAACATGGCTCAGTTTCATCAACACTGGATAGCCCTTTCCTATAGATAATACTGTCCATTGGATAAAATTGTTATCCTCTAAACTGTAAAGGAATGTTTCTCACAAGCAAGATACTTATTTTTGCCTTTGATATTTCTATCCAATGGTTAAAAATGGCTGCTATCCTCAACTTTATCCAATGGACAGTGTTATCCATGAAATCAGCCCAGATTACCTTAAAAGAGAGTTCGTACTGCTCCCCTCCCCAGATATCCAGACCAGGATCATAACCTCCCAACTCCCAGAACCACTTCCTGTCTATAGCAAACAACCCTCCAGCCATCACTGGGCTCCTGGACAAAATATAAGAAAAATAAATTTACACACGAGGATCATAAAACTTGAACTTGAATATAACAAAGAACACAGAACCAATACACATATATTCCTTCAGCATTTGTCCAAATCAAAAAAAAAAAAAACTCTCCTTGATAAATAAATGTCCACACCTGGTATAAAAAAGTTCTTCAATATTGCCCCCTCCATATCTTGCTGCTAATTATAAAAAGAAACCTGGCCCATAATTTAACTTACTTGAAAGGTTCTGATGGATGCCTTAAATCCTCCGGCAGCAGAGGCAATCTTTTGTAAAAGAATTCCCAATCAAAGGCTCCCCTGGCGCCTTCATCCTGAGCTCTGTAGGCAAAATTCTCAAAGTCAATCACGTCTATGAAGGGGCAAACTGCTGTTCTTCTATTCTGGGCAATAGGCTCTGGAGAAAAGAAAGAAGGAAGCACATTGGCTCTTTTCAATTATTCAAAGAATGAACATGGTAAATCAATAGCCAAACAAGTGTTTATATAAACTAGTGGGAACATTGGAAACCACCAGCTTAAAAATTCATGAAATCCTTAAATATAATGATAGAGACATAATAGATTGTACACAGTTTGACAGGGAAAAATGCTAACCAAATAGAAATATATACATTGTTTCACAGACTAAATAAAATATCTAATTAACAATGTTTTCTTAAATCTCATAAGGAGATGGAGGTTTTTCTAAAATATCTCTGGAAAAGATGTAGACATCTTTTTTCAACTAACCGAGCAAGGGGGGTAACCAGTTCACATTGGCTTCACAGTGAGAATCCAAAAATATGAGGACATCTCCTGTTGCGGCTTTGGCTCCTAGCAGTCTGGTCCTGATTAAACCTTCTCGCTTCTTTGCACGCACAGTTCGCACATTGGTAAAATGTTCTTTTAAGTAATCGTCCAGCTTTTGGCCAAGAAAATCTGAAATCATTTTATCATATCCAGCATATATTTAATATGATACTTTAAAAACTAGGAACTACTGCCACATATGCAAATATGTGAATATAAATTAAATCCATTGTTTGTTATCAATCTAAAGGTAAATCACACAATCTTCAAGGCAATGTGTCTTTGCAGTAAATGTTATATTTCCAGCTAGTTTTAGGATCTGTATAATCTAGATAATCAATTACACCGGTATCGACTTATGAAGGCATGTTTCCAGTAAAGTTAGGCAGACCTATCTTGGTGCCAAACATCTCAGCAAGTTGTATGACTACAGGTAACCCACAATGCCCAGCAAATAGTATCACTGTTGGCTATTATCCCACATGTCCCTGTTATAATGGAGGTAAGTTTTGTACCCATATTGTGGCCACCTTAGGTTATAGCCAATCAAAATCAGACAACCTGTTGAGATGGGTTGTAATGAATTAAGTCTACCCATGTTGAATGAAAACATGCCATGAGACTACCATTGACCAAACTGCTCTACCTTTTGTACTAGCGTCATCAGCAAGGATCACTTCATGCAAGAGACTTTTGGGAGATCTGTTGATAAGACTATGTACATTTCTAAGGAGAGTGGTCCAGTGTTCATTGTGAAAAGGTATCACAACACTGGCAGTGGGTAACTTAGCTAAGTACTTCTTGTGCTTGCAGCTGGAAGGACAAAATTTTCAATATCATGCATCACTGTTCTAGGATCAACTTTTTTTTCTGTTAAAATTGAAGCAGTAATCCAGCTTCCAAAATAATAATCTGGCAGCCACTTTGATGGTGACAAAGAGCACTACAGTACTATTCAAGTTTTTTTTTTAAGTTAAAACTTTCATAAGTCATGAAGAAATTATCTAAAATGTTCTACAGTCAAAACACATTTTAAATCACACTGCTGACTTAAAACTAAAAATAAAGCAGGTACATATAGGTACAGCAATTTAAACTGGAGAGTTCATACTCACTCTGGATGCCTAATATCCACCAAAGCTCTGTCTAGAGATATTTTATCACTTGCATAGGCATTGAAGCCATTGACTTTATAAAGGTCATTTTTCTTTTGCTCTTCCTCTGGACTGAGAATCACTGCTGAACCCTGTTCACCAGGACCTGAATACACATTAACATTAGAATATTAATCTTCTTAACAATAACAACCCCCCTTCCCCCCCCCCCCCTCAAAAAAAATCTCACGTTCAACTTTATACCTATAAACTAATATATATATATATATATATATATATATATATATATATATATATATACATACATATATATATAAAAATCTCATGTTCAACACCCAGTATATATACATATACCCAGTACCGTTTCAATTCTTAGACTGAGACCCCATTCCCACAGATTTTAAATCGATCTATCCCTGTGGGGAGTCTCACTAGATTACTGTCAGCTTAGTCGGCTTAAGCGTCTGTCCTGCCTACTAAAAGCTGTAAGGGGGTAATTAATTGTCGTGTGCGCTCAGCTGACTGCAATTAAGCGTGAACCCCCAGGGAGTTAGGTCAATCCAGATGGATTGATCTAAATCTCTGGGAATGCACTCTTAATGTGGATTATTATAAGTTAAAAACCTTATGTACACAATAACCACATATCTTTATTAATGATTTAAAATAACCATCTTTACCTTTTCTCTCTTTTTCTTCTGCAATTTGTTTGTAATTATGCCAGTCTATTTTAGCATTAGGGTCAACAGGCTCATTCTAAAATGGAAAGATAAATGACAGTCACATCAAAAATTCTGTTTCATGCTGACCAGATTAACTTTGCACATTAATATATTACAATATATTTTCTCCTTTGCTGCTCTCAAAGTTTGTATTAAGAATAGTCTAATTTCAGTCCAAAGGGATGAAGATTTTATAGAAAATTACTGGTACCTTTATATTAATCAAAATTATAATTATGAAAATTCACTAATCATAATCCATTTGTTCAATAAAAAATTAAACTGTTTATTCTGCATCAAAACAGTGACTGTGTTAATGCCAATCAAACAAAAATGTCTATACTAACATCAAGAGGCTGTTCTTCCTTAGGCCTCTCTAGAAATTTCTCATGCCGGTTATCACCAGGGGGTAAAGGAAGACCCCTGTCTAACAGAGCCTCGGTCTTCGGCTTGTCTCCAAATAATGTCCTCAGCAGCAAGGGCCCAAATGCAAGACAAACACCTGCCACAATGACATACTTTAACAGGGTTTTTGTGTTCCTTCTCATGGTGGCAGGTTAATTCCTTATCCTAGAAACACATATAGATAATGATGAAATGTGACTCTTTTCTGTGAAAAAAAAGCAAATACTGACTGATAATAAGACATTTTCCAACAGCAAAACTATGATTAATTGCTTTTTTAAAAATGTGCTCATACCTTAAAGAATACAAATAAACTTATGGTCTTAATAGGTTTGCCTGTTTAACTTCATAAATATAATGTTCCCATATACAGCAGGTCTATATGAAATATTCTAGTGCCAAAAGCAAAGATCAACTGTGATAACACTTTGTGTCTGTGAAAGAAAGGGAAAAACAATCTGAATCAACAAATAGACGAGGCCCTGTTGGTGCCACCTTATAACTGTTACTTAGGCTTTCACAGGCGGGGTATATGTAATAAATCACTGTCTGACTGATGTATGGTTGCTGCAGACTGAAAAGGTTCTAGCAATTACTATATATTTGTGCGGCTAAGGGCATCCTATCTGGGGTTTTTGCATCAAATCAGGTGCTCTTATTTAAGGGCTTTAAAGGTGTGAACTGGGAAAGATAAGACGTTTTGCGGGGAAGAATAAGACAATTTCAAACGCGTATGGTACTACTGGATGTACTGATAACGTTAACGTTACTCCTAACTGAAGCAAGACTTTAGCAGAGTTTCTGAACAATGCGTCACAATGAAATCTTGACCTGAACAAGAAGATCCATAGTCCAAATGGCCACATTTACACCCCGTACCACCATTAAACACATGAATCAATACATAACATGTAAATAGGCTGAGTATTTGGACACTCATCATAGAGTTTTAAACGTATCAGCAATCATCACGAGACGATCACATAAATGGCTATCTTGATGAGCGTCACAACTGGCGACTACAATGGCGCATTTAGAGTATTACCTCACTTATCGTCCCTTAGCTCGTTAAGTAAATACTAGTTCAAAGAGTGGAAAAGAAACGATCATTTTATCCACGTCTTCAGCATTCCTCGGGTGTCCTTTCCATGTTTTTTACCTGAGCCTCGTATTCAAACAGATCATCCAAGACAAGCCACACCTGAGGATTGTGATATTGGGTCACCTAACAGTGAAATAGGTCACATAAACACAACAGGCGTTATGTCGAGAGCGGGGGCTGTGTTGGTTGTACTTCTAGCAAGCTACGTCGCATATTGCCTCATCGATACATTTGACCCGGGTAAGATTAATTGTCTTTAATAAGGAGACAATCAGTGCCAGGATTAACCTTAGGCTGCACCTGTACACCCATATAGATACGAATGCAAGAGGTGGGGCGGGCGGGGGGGGGGGGGGGGCAAATTGTATCACAAAACCAGTGTGGACTTCACAAGGTCGTGAAACATGATCTGCAGTTTTGTGTAGTTTACGGTAACGACAAATATAGGCGAGTTAGCCTACTCTAGACCACGACCTGGTGTTATCGTGGATTGAGCAATGGATTCGAATGAAATCCATGGTTCACAGGCGATGCCCTGGAGTAGGTCATGTTCAGTACGGACATGCATGTAGGCCTACATGTAAATTGGACTAATACGTATAACCAATTAATGCATGTCTGATACGTGCACGATCAACACGTACACCCCATGTTTTAAACAGGATCGCCATTTAGACTCATTTGGTGCGAATAAAATTAAATGAGTTGGTGTTCGGATTGTTTTGTGTGGTGATTTGGGAATCTTATTTTATAGCAATAATAATATTACTTATTTATATTCAAATGTGTTGAGTCGTTAAACTACTTGTTGTCAGTTTTTGTAACAAGTTGAGACATTTTTAGTAGGCTATTACTAAACATTTTCTGAAACACCACAATTTTTTGGTCTTTCTAGAGACTGTTCGCGGTAAGACGGTATTAGTGACTGGGTCTTCTTCTGGTATTGGAGAACAACTGGCCTATCACTATGCACGGCTTGGCGCCAATGTGGTGGTCACTGGACGCAGGGAGAACCTGCTGAAGAAGGTAAACGTAGCCTTACATGATGTGTCACCTTTTTTTTACGCAACATTTTGTTTCAAGGTTGGATATTATATGGAAAGTCAGTGCATGAAACACATCTAATATAAGAACTGTAAAGGTAATATATTAGATCAAGCACATAAACGCGTTTTGATAAAAACGGTACAGTGGAATACAGACGTTAATAGTTTTTTTAGAGTCAAAAATTATATATATATATATATATATATATATATATATATATATATATATATATATATATATATATATATATATATATATACCATATTTTAAAATATGCCATATCACTATACCGAGACTGAATGTGGCCCATCTGATTGCCAAAACGCATTAAGAGCGTACGTGCGTTGTGTAGACGCGGTTGGATAATTAATGCGACAATAAAAACTCTCTCGACGAATTTAACAGTAACGAATAACGTTTCATGCAAATAAAATTGCTGTTACTCACAAAGAGGATAAACGAGTATCAACTATTAACGAATAGCCACCTTTGGTTTATATTTTGTAGCTTAATCGATCACTGTGATCTAAAGCAAAACAAAAGATTGCAGTGTATGTGGAATTTAACGAAATAGGAAGAGATAGCCGACGTTTGTTTGTAAATACTGTATATATTTGTTACTTTCAATTTTTATGCCAACTTCTGATTATAGGTGGTTGCAAGGTGTAATGAATTAAGTGGAAAACAAGTACACAAATATGTAGTGGCTGATATGAATAGGATGGACGAAGTAGAAAAGGTAACATCTTTTGGTCAGTTTATTGAGGTAACCTTGAATATCCTAATAAAATGGACTCTTTCACACAGTATGGAAAATTGATTTTGTCCTGCTTTGCTCATTTTTACTTTTTGTGGGGAAAGAAAGCAATACCTCCGATACCTCCGAGGCTAATGGTGGGGGGGGGGGGGGCACACATATTCGTTGTACCGTCACTCCCTCTGCACCCGTCGTTGACTGCCCCATAATAAACGGTTTTGAGAACTGAAATTGTCGGCCTTACGATATAGTAGATAAAATAAAAGAGGAAAAACGACTTGGTCAGCAAGGGAAAAATTACTATTATAAACCCAATTTGGAAATGCATAGTTAGTGTCTGAATAAAATGTATACCCCCCCCCCCCACCTTTCATAAAAGATGAATAACAGTGATTTATTAATTCCCCACAGTTCACAGAGTCCACCTTTAATGGAAAGCTAGACGTCCTCATGCTGAACCATGGCTATAATGAACTACTAGAGTTGTGGACAGGGCACCAAGACAACTTGACCATGCATGAAAGGGTGATGAATACCAACTTCATGTCTCACGTCTTTCTGGCGTCTCGCCTCATGCCGCTCCTGGAGAAGAGCTCGGGAAGGATAGGGGTGACCTCCTCTATTCTGGGTAAGGTTATACCCTCTGTTATCAGGGTCTTCTGGAATAGTGTACTAAATTAAAATGTGGGCGATACAAGAAATTTGTAACAGAAACAGAATACTAATGCACCTGTGGTCAGAGAGTAGTAAAGTTAAGGGTAAGCGTTCTTTTGTACTGCTGAAAAAATGAAAGTGAGGGCAACCGCTTTGCTATAGGTAATTTTACAAAATGCCAGTTGATGTTATGTTATAATATGGTGATGTTACTTAATTTTGCACGTGAGATGTCTTTGCCTATGGATTATGCAAGGAACTACGTGTAGATTCAATTCTGAAATTTTGTTATATAACATTATTTTATATGATCGTAACATTTCGACCTACTAATAATTTGTCAATTCGTCTGACTGTTGCTTACAGAATTTTTAAATGATTCATTTTCTATGTTTTTATACAGACCTTCATTTCATAGTAGATTTCATATTATAATATTTATAGGTGTTATTCCGATGCCGTTTGTAGCGAGCTATTCATCGTCGAAGCACGCCCTGAGTAGTTTTTTCTCAGCTCTTCGCATGGACCTGGTCTTACAGGGGTCCAGTGTTTCAATTACAAACGGAATCGTCGGCTCCACGGGTGAGTAGATATTCACATATCACGTAGACAGATACAAGACTTTCCTATTTTTATTAAATTAGGATTACAACGTGGCGTGCGGGCACAGAAAATAGTATTTGAATTAATCTACTCACTCAGAGGGACGTATACTTGTCTAATAACAAAAACAAAATGATTCGTCAGACGAAATTTTCATTTGCATTATCTTTCAATGAAATTATTTTCAGTAATGTATTGACATATTGTTTTTCATTTACAGCAACAGAGAGACACGTATCAGAACTGAAAAAGTATATTGGCAGGCCCGATATTCCTTTCGCAACGGGGACTCCGGAAGATGTTGCCATGGCCTTGCTGAAAGCCACTATGCTTAGACAGTCCGAGGTTTTCGCACCCTGGCTGCCGGCACTAAGTTTTATACGTATTTTGAGGGTTATAGCTCCAGATCTAGCCGACTATGTGATTCGTTACGGTGAACAGTCCTTGCGACAGGGCAATTAAAATAGTTCGTGCATATGTTTGTCTGTGATATGTATGCGTGTGTGTTTGACTGCTTAGCGGTATGTGTGAGTATGTGCGTGCATGTGTGTGTGCATGCATGCGTGTTTGCTTGTAGTGTGTGGTTTATGTGCGGGTGTGGTGGGTAGGTATGTTAAGATACTTCATATGATATTACCACTTCATACGTGCGCGTTTGCTTCACGGTGTAACGAACCGTTATGTACCTCGTACAACAAAGTCAAGGGATCTTTTAAACGGGAGTCTTTTTACTGTTAGACCACAAAATGACGACCCAAAATAGAAAAAATATAGTCTCCAACGCAATCACCAATCTTAGAGAAAGTCACATAGTCACAAAAGGCTATTTCCAATAAAATATCCACAAAATAAATTGCATTGTCATCCTGATATAGGTTTAACTCGCATCAGTATTAAATATGGTGACAATTTCTGTGGATGCCTATAGGTGGGTTGGATTTTACCAATGTGATAAAACTGACCTCAGGGGATGGTCCGTTACCTCCTATCAAAGGATTGCTTGCTTCGACACTATTAGCAGCTGGATGCGGACCTGAGGCAGATAAAGCGGTCTTCAAGAAACGGCAGTGTGTTAGTTGGGATTCTGCTAGCACAATGGTTCTCGTCCAAACCGCCGTCTGTGATGTGTGCTCCACAGTTTTTTGACAGTACGGGTGAAAATGTCCATACAGCTTTAATGTATTCCTTTAATACCTCTTAAGACACGTTTTCTATAAAGTTGTTTTTAAAATTGCTTTGAAACTGTTTTGTTAAGTTACATGTAATTTTAAACGGATTAAAGAACATACACTGTTAATATACATTCTGGGTTGATAATTTATTGACACTCACGTGATATACACGTGGATTTGACAATCATAAACAGTAACACTAAATATACTACAGTACTTCAAAGTTTGGTTTTCTAAGATAACTGATCATTAAAAACAATTTCGGAATGGAATGGCCATCAAAGATTAGACCTTTGGTACATATGTACGTTATGTTCATTTTTCAGTAGTATATAGGCTATTATTCCTTAAAATTTGAAACCGATATTTACACAAAATTTGTAGACTCTCTTTAGCTTGTACATACTTTTAGAATGTATGTTCTGTAGGTATAGAGTCAATGGGGTGCTGCCTTGCTTTCGCATTAGTTATTTCTTTTCTTACGCTGTGATGAAAAGAGAAGTTTGCCAGGCAAAGTAAAATACTCTTCAAGGAGCAGTTGATCCAAATACGACGGCACGTAGCTATTACCGACAATAATGACAACAACAATTTTTAAAAGAAAGTTTACTTTAAGACGTATATGACTATTAAACATTTAATATACTGTCGAATTCGTACAATGATTATTTATAAACGGATTCTGAGGCTGAGCCTTCTGTTCAGTACAAAACGAGAGTTAAAACAGGAGAGATATTTGTTTTAACCAACTTGTTTATCGTTATCAAATGCCAGTGCGTTTCATACATTTGTATTACTGTGTACATGTATATGGCAGTTTTTCCAATACGTTGCCTGTCACTTTAGTGTCATTCCGTGCAGGGGTTGCACTCTGGACAAAGATCGCTGGATGGAAGCTGTTTGCTCATTTAATTTATCTCTTCTTTGACAGACAATTGTCACAATGATAACAATGAAAACGTCTAGATACTACAGTTCTGAGATCAAATGAAGTATTGAGTTTTGTGTCCCATATGCACTAACTGGCATATAATCAATACTTGCCGTGCTCGTCCTATTTGACTTTAGTCTTTTCAGGTCTGGCAGGAAATACTTTCAAATTAAATTTAAAAGCATTTACGCCAAGCCACTATGCCTCCGCTTTTTTAAAACGTCTTCTAACTAGACATACAAAACACTGATTGATGTGCAAGGTTATATTTATGATATTTGGCAAATAATGTTTCGTTTCCCCCTCCATAAGCGGGTGTATATGGCATTTTTTTTTACTGAATTTGAGCAACTTGATTATCTTAGCAGGTAAAATGCCAGAGAGAAAATAGGTATTATGTGTTTTATTGATGAGTAAATTTCAAATGACATTTCTTAATTCTTCTCAAGAATGCTTATCAGGCTGTTGCTGCTCTTTTCGGATCGTGACAGCGAAACCACTTGTTAGTCCACAAAAGGACTAATGACACGATCTTTCAATGATTAATATCTGAAATATGATCTCGTAGTTTCTTGAATAATAAGGTCGGTCCGTGCAGAAGCATAATCTGATGGCATATAAATCCGCATTAATGTTTCAGAATTACATTTAATGGCATCATTCATCGAGTAGGTGATCGTCGTCATCGTGTTGCCCGTTGGGGTTTTCGTGGAAGTGTTCTTGAGATTGCATCCAAACGTGGCATTTATCAAGGGCATTTCTGCGGGCAATTTCTTCAATGATTTTATCATCTTCGTCCAGAAGCTCCTCAAAGGGATGTCTATGAGCAAAAGGTTCGTCACGGTTCACGTGTTCGACTAATTCCATGGCATTGTCCAGTTTTTGGTCCCCCAGTGCTCGTCTTTGTGTGAACCCGTGGTTGCTATGGTGACCGTGATGTTCACGCTGATGTTGATGGGTATGGGGACGCTGTGTTATGTCTCCGTCTAAACGAGAAGACGTTCTTTCGAAAAGTTCCGTAAAAGAGGTGTGGCGCTTATTTAAATGTTTTCGCTTCTTGTGATGCTCATGGTGGCGTTTAGGCGGTGAAGTTGACCGAACGTGAGCAGACGATGTCTGCCGGATCGAAACCGTGTCCTCCTCGGCCTGCGCCATAGCAAGTTGCGCCTCTGGGGATAAAAAATGGGTGAATTTTCTCTCGGGTCGGGTTGTGCGTGCCCTGTTGCCTGTATGTCGTGTGCTATGGTGAATACTGGGTAGCGCTCCTGAGGGGGGCAAATGAAATGGGTTTTTCTGATGCGACTCCATAGCAGTTGCACGTAGTTATAAATTTTGTACGTAGACGCAGTTCACAGATCGTATTGCTAATGAGGCAACTTATTTTTCCATTTACATTTTCCTAAACTTGGCGTCATTATTCTAGTTTCCATTCTGCAAAGAAAAAAATAGCATTCATTTAAATAAGAGATATCAAAGAATCGACCGAATAAAAATACAATTTAGAAAAATATAACCGTTAACTGCGCTAGTATTTGTTCTATCCTTGCCAGTAACCCTCACCTGTAGGATATGGGATAATACATATTTAACCTCAAGCACATTTTTTTCAATCAGCTTAACTCATTTCACTCACCGATAGCTGCCATTAAAACCACCTCGGTTTCATTCGTAACTTAAAACCAAACACTCTTCTTTCACGTCTTTAAAACAAAATCTCCAGACACAAACTAAATACAACAAATGAGAACATGGTTTCTGGCAGGCTTAGTTTTCGCTTCAGTTCTATGACGTCAGTGGTGCCATAGCTCTGTACAAGTGCATAATAAATAAGTCACTCCCAAAACATCTCATAGTTTCGTCTTAAGTCTATATAACACTGCTCCATTATTATGATATCAACACACTTAACAACTCCGGCATTGTTTTCATATGAAATTGTACTCGCTGGTAAAGGTTTCATTGATCGGCCGTTCCGCGGGAAGTTAGCTGATGAGACTGTTTGCAAGGGAAATGAAATTTAATGAAAGAGTTTATCGACTGTTTCTTATTGGCAAGTATTTCCAGTCACAAGCACATCTTAATCAATTATGTAGCAAGTGCCCAAATATGGCTAAACAAGCGTGAATAGGTTAATTATCGGTTACGGTACTGTGTTCTTTAACTGTGTAAGATTCCATTTCATAAAATGCTATTTGTTTTCTTTAATAATCAAAGAAGTTTTAAATCTGTCTTTTCGCACACGCCTCAGCTCCTTAACAATGCCAAACCTAACATGATGAAACGCACAATTAAAAAAACAGAAGAGCTGCGGGTAAAATACAATGAATGGAGGGATATAGAATATCGATGATAATTTATTTAGAATTGTTTTCGTTCAAGGTTGGTGGACTAATAAATAGAATATAACAGGAAAACAGAACGTCAGCCTTGTCTTGTGTAAAGAACTTCAAATCCTCATAGTAAAGGGACTTTTTTTTCTTTTATGTGAATATATTCCCGTTAAATCACAACCTTAAAAATAATCCAATGAATGAAAGAAGACCAGGTAGGATTTTGAGATGCAAACCAACCGTGAATGGATAGATGTATGGCGTATCGATAAAACTTATCAAGGGAATAAGAAATGTTTTTCCGCGCAAGTTTGTTGATTTTATAAATTAAACAGTAATAGAAATAACAATAAATAAATACGTCAGACCAACAGCAGGGGATCACATGGAGAAATCTGGACTCCGGTAAACATCGTCGTCTCCACCACGTGCGGTATTTCGTCACCATGGAAACCACTAAATAAATACACCCGCCATGACACAAAAAACTACTACCATGGTCTCTCTGTTCCTTCATGGCGTGACATTCCAATGTATTCTGTGCCCGCTTTTGGCTGGTGACGTGACGAGGGCGTGAACTTTACACGAGCACCTGACATGTTGGGGAAAATTTCCAATTTAACGAAATAACATAATACTAAATTATATCCATTGTGTCATAGTATATACAACCCCTTTATGCGTACATTCGACCCCAGTTCAACCTCTCTGGGAGTGTAACAAATGTAAATGAAACGTAACACTTTCTGTTATTTTGTCTGCATCGAATTCCATATTTGTATAGGCTGTGTGTAGCGTTACACGCGTGATTTGTCTGGCGTGAAGTCCCTGTATGACCATAGCGTTTACATCTAAACAGGTGGAAGGAAAACTGGATAGGAGTCCTATTCAATAATTGAATGTATAAATATTGAGCTAAATAACAAAACTAGTAGCGAAACTCCACCGTCGACATCTTAAATATTAACTTGGTTAGATCACTCTGAAAACATTACCTCTACAGATGATACCCTAGCTCCTTACAAGTTATTAACTTTCACACTCTGGAAGGTCGCTGTGGTGTTTCGATATTTTCCATAAGGTCCACAAAAAAGCCTCTAAACCCTGCTCCAACATGACCTTTCCGCATTATTTAGATTTTAGGGACCCTGTGTATCATGTTGCAGGTAACCGGGCAATGAAGCATGTTTTTGATAGCCGATTCCAGTTTCTGGCACGTCCAAAGGAATAAATCAATTCATGGCAAGCACGCTCGCAGAAAATGCTTGGATGCTGGTTAAAATGCATTAATTTTTGCTTAAGTCAATTACAATAACACGCTTTCCCCATTAACTTTCAGTAGTATAATTTTTGTCACATGACGCTTTCTCGATTTCAAGTTTTAAAATGAAGAGCCGCCGTGAGAGCTTTAGGGTCTGGGTCAGAAAATTAGACAGAAACTTTTATAGACTGCTCAGAAACAAAGATATTTTTCTTAACCAGTGCTTTCATCGTGCGGACATTTCTTATCCATTTTTAGTAATTTTAGAAATCGCGACTCGAGCTCAAAAGCTAGAGAAAAAGAGTGAAAGTATAAGGTATGCCTCCAATCGTTCACTTGGCTAGAAATAATTAAAATTTTATCTTAAGCACTTGTTACAGTGGTTTGCGACCGCTAAGAGAATGAATGCTAGCCCACAGAGTACATGTAACATGGGCTTAAGAACGGATATTCTCCAAGGACTGAAAAGAGTGATGGTCAGGATTTTCTTTTAGCGCAGAACACCATCAACGGTTACATTTACTGATAAGGAAATAACGAACTGCCTGGATCTACATGCTTTGGCTTATCTTTGAGCGAAATTCAATAAGACGTATAAGGTTATCAGACAGGTCATGTGAACGGCTTAAGTTGCTTGATTGGGCGATTAAATGGATAGATACACGAGAGGAGGTGCTAGGATATTAAATCACGAAAGCACCGTAATATTCGTCGACGTATGGCATGTTTGGCTTGTTTAACAGAACATCACATCTCTAGACTGTTATAAATTGTACTATGTAAATTTACTGCTATCCTCTTATAAATTCAACAGGGTCTGTACGTTACGAATGCAAGTGTGTGTGTGTGTGTGTGTGTGTGTGTGTGTGTGTGTGTGTGTACTGTATTTTTAGAGGCAAAAAATAAATCGAAAAATTGTCTCTCTCTCTCTCTCTCATTGGCACAGGACATCAACCAGGAAGAAGCCAAAATAATTTTGTGGGTCCATCGTCCCCCTGGATCTGTCACGGCCTTGACAATATTATATTGCTAAAACTTACGCTCATGTATTACATGACCATTATACATACCTTATACACCAAACTTCACCTGGAGTCACCTAGCCGATCAGGCCAGTGCTGTAAATTATCACCCCTATCTACCTATATTACTATTTACCTGCTAACCCGTTTGTTCGTTAACCAATAAATCAGGCTTCGATTATCTTTTGACACCAAAGATATGACCGATAGTTACCGGCTATAATCAAACACAGTTGGTCAATAGCACTGGGTGGCGTGTTCCCATGTTTCCAATAGAAACTTATCGTTGTTCCCACTGTTTTTTTTTCTTTGTCTCTCTCTATGGAGTCTGCTCTTACTCAGATATATATATAACGCATGATTATTACCAGAGCGAGTCGTAAAAGGTCATATTTTACTCTGTCGTATGAAACAGTGATAGCAAGATTTCACAGGGTTTAAGTCCCTTTTTTAGCATGACAATTTACTCAACTCTTTACGCTGCCGAGACGCCCCCTCTCCCCCCCCCCCTCCTAAATGAAGCCGCAAAAGTTGTGGTTCATTAATCATACGTTCACAAGCATTTTTGAGACACACTATTAAAAATACTATTATTGTGCAGCTGTGCCGGCAGTTAATTTTTTAAACAGTAGCTATACGTTCAGAAGTATGATGGGTTTTTGAAGAATTTATTGGTGGCAACAGTTTTATTAACTTCTCATCTAGGATTATTGGTAACTGTTGTCACGCCTCAGTAGTATTCTATAGTAAATAAAATGTGTCCCTTGATATATTGACCTCTGCAAAAGACAGTAGCCATTCAGCAGACTAATATTTTCTAGAAGTCATTAATACTCCAATTGAATTTATTTTTTTAAATTGGAGACTTACCTATTCTGCTAATTGCTGCTTTAAACAAGGAGTATTGAAACTTCTTCAGAAGTTGAAACGTTGAGTAAGGACCAATATTATTGAAACATGTAGAAAAGAAAACTTGTGTGGGATGAACAGGGTCATGCTTCACACCAGGACTCGTGATAAAACGTCAACTGCTCAGCGCAGTCAACCATTGCCTCAAATTACATAAGGACAGATTATTCTCGAAGAAGAAAAAAAAACAATCAGACAATGGAAACACCCTAGCATTTTAAATATGTAAAGCTTTACATGAATTTACCCATTAATGACACGACACACTTACCTGTGATTTCACAGCGTCCTAAATCGTTTCCTTTTACCGACTGAGGACTTTATAAGGCTAAGAACTATGAATTGCGTCTTATTTCATTCCTATGGTGTCGGTAGAGAGGGGCCTAGCTAAACCCTAACCTTTAACTTCCCTGTATAATAACCGTATTCCGGTGCGTCGAGGGATTATTGTATTGTCTGTGATTTGCTTTGTGAAAATGCAAATATCACTTTTCACTTTGAATTAGTCGGTTCACGGTTAATTCTATTAGAGCAAATAATGCACTTCGCTTGGCTGCTAACAAGTAAAGAGAGACATCTACAAAAGGTGCGCACCGCTTTGACTCAATGCAAATACGCAATATCCAGACTATGACGCCAGAAACAATACGGTTTCCCTAAGACACAGTGACGTTAGGTATATATCACAATCGCCTGCTTAGTGCTAAAGTTAATTAAAGAAACTGCACATTATAGGTTTCTACTAGGGCGCAAAGTAAATTAAGCTGTGGTTTCAGGTTATTGTTTTAAAGATCCAACAAAGAGATTTTTTTACATTATTTGTATGCAACACATATCGTCTGTTTCTTCAACAATATCATAAATGGCCGGGGGGAAGGGGTTAAATCATTCATGTCAAATAGCAGCACAATAAGATTAGAAAGTATTTTTTTCTTGTTGGAGTTTGTGTTTGCTTAATACGAGATCGGATCCGATTACAGTCGTTGTAAAAGCATAGAGTCAAAATTTTAGTGCCGCATACAGCGCTTTTGGTTGATTATCATTAAATGACATACACATGCCATTTTAAGTCATATAAACTAGATGGACAACAAAATAGATGGACAGAAAACATAAAAAAACACGGGTTCATTATCCCAAAAGATAACAACGAATTTCACAAGGTTTGAAAATTCTATCCGGCAAAGATGATTTAATCTCAATTTTTTCATTAAACGCAAAAATCGAGCTGACGTTAAGCATCGGATCAAAATAATCGGATAATCATTCCAAATGGAGTATTTTGGGTCAGAGGTTTGTCCCCTGTAATTAATAGGGGCATAGAAGCCATAAACATCAAATAAGCCATTGCAAGTTAGGTGCATACATGTAATCACCCAAAAACTGCTTTGTTCTAGAAGTGCTAATGCCAACGCACGTTACACATGTAACCAGAGGTAGTGCTAGCTTTTCACAAAAACGAACGAGGAACAAAGATTTTGGTGATGCATTTCTATGCCAGCATTTTAATTAAGAGTATTTCAATGGAAAGAACTAGCAGTACTCTTTTGAAAATGATCAAGGAAATTAATTTTCATCCACAATCAAAACATAATAACATTTCTTGTAAATATTTATAATGTAATACTGTATCAGTTATACATTGAGATATTCATGGATAATTCTCATTTGATATGTTTCTTCACCTTTTGAAGAAAAAAAACTACCACTGACGAATACAATTTTATTTCTAAAATTGACAAAACTGGATCATTCACCTCCACTGCTGACATCTTGCGGTGGTCGTGATAGCGTATTTTAGTTTACTTGTCGACTAATAGATGTCGCCACAGTTATTTCAAGGGTGTAGAGGACCTGGTGCAAGAGACTACAGGATTTTGCTAAACTGTGTGTGTGTATGTGTGCGTGTGTGTGTGTGTGTGTGTGTGTGTGTGTGTGTGTGTGAAAGAGAGAGAAGACAGAGGCTTGATGGAGGCAGAAAATTTGGGTTAATCTGAATTTTTTTAAATAGATTAATAGGCGGTAGTTGATGGAAATTTGTTCGGGGACCCACCAAATATTTTTGCCGTACGCGTTCTAATGGAAGTTTAAGACCCCTCCCCCACCCCCCAATATACCTTCACTAAAGATTTTGTGTAATTGCAATGAAGGCTCACAGCTCACATATAGTCATATAACGTTATTGGAAAACAAATTAAGAAAGTTTGAATCGCATTTTCAAGACATCGCCCGCTTGACATAGAGGACAGGGGCCTTTGTTTTCTCTTCTCCATCCCTTCACTAACCTACCCTCTGCCAGGGCTGCAAATTTATCATTTGCACTTTTCTCCTGTAAAGAATTGTGTCCTGAATTAACCAGAGACATAATTGTGAATATCCAGTGAAAAATCAATCTGTGATCGGTATAGGTTATCAGTAGCCTAACCGTGCATCAAATCAGTACACGGTACATCGATTTAAAAAGTTACGAGAATCTCTGATGTAAGCTTTTGCGGTTGCACTGATTTGAAAAACGTTACCCAATTTTTTTATATTCCTATTTCTTTATGGCTTACGGACCAAAACAAAACCTTTGGCTAACCAACAGTTCCGTTTCTGCAAACATTTCCGTGGTGTTTTTTTTTTTAATACAGCATTCGGTCCTAGTAAAAATGACACCCATTAAGTGCACTGTCTACATTATGACATTTAAGTGTTTTTTCTGAAGGTTCTGCAGTTACACTGAATTGGAATATATTACTCAGGTTTTTGTACACTCCTATTTATACATGGCTTACGGTCTCCTTTTGCCTTCAATACCACCTTTGTGTCAATTAATTTTTCTGAAATGTGGTGGGTGAACTGGGGTGAGGGGCCCTTAGGTTAAGGGCCTTGGGTTTGCTTTCCTAATAAACAACGCCACCCTGGTTGTTTTCAGCGTGTGTCCTTGTTGTGTTCTTCTTAATGCTTCATGGTGTTCAAGAGAGAGAGAGAGAGAGAGAGAGAGAGAGAGGGAGAGAGAGAGATGGAGAGAGG